CTCAGTTTGGGAGGCCATAGCATGTGGTTTAAAGTGCCAGGCTCTAGGGATTGGGTGAAAACCCCTCGATCTTGGGCTTCAGGTCTGCGTCTTGCTCCTGGCCCACTGAAGCTGGAGGCTTTTCTTCATTCAGGCAGCTTCTGGCTGCTGAGGCTGAAAAACCCAAGGTCAACAAGTAAAAAGGCACAGTCCTGATATTACCAAACTATTGGTAATATCATTACCATGATATTGATTATCATGCCATTGATTCAAGTACACTGAGAGTCCCAAGATCAGCAGACAACATGGCAGACTGCTGAACAACTCAGTTACATGCAGGGTCCAAGCATGCCGTAAGCTGTAGATCATTCCCAAAGCTTTTCCTTATATATGTGAAGCAGATCCCATCCCTAAAGCAGCTACTCAGCTGCTCGCAGTAGATTCCACCATGGAGTTGATTACAAGTCTCATAATGGGGAAAATCTACATCCAGCTGCCCAGCCACTTAAAAGTTGACACATAACCTTAACCACCACAAAAACATCGTAATTTCTTAAACTCCCTACACATCTGTCCTGTAACTTAACAATGTAAGAAATGATCTAGTAAAATTAACGACTCATTGAAAAGGCAAAAGTAAATTTATATAATGAAGCATCCAATACTCCAAGCATGTAATAAGGCATTTTAAGGAGCTAAATGAGTGTGAATATTTAATCTCACAATACCTTAAAAATTATTCTCTGAATTTAAAGCAATATTTCCATACACAATCCAAAATCTTAGAGGCTTGCTTTCAATAGCTGCAAAAGCATTCATTATGTTTTTGTTGTTATGTGCTGTCGAGTCGGACCCGACTCATAGCAACCCCTCCTTGGGTTTCCAAGGCAGTATCACTACGGAAGTAGATTGCCCAACTTTCCTTCCGAGGAGTACCTGGTGGGCTTGAACTGCCACCTTCTGGTTAGCAGTCAAATGCCCTAGACGCTATGCTACCAGACCTCCCGGCATTCATTATAGAGGAGCTTTAATGTTAATATCAGACGCAACATAAAAGGAAAAAATGAAAGGATGACATTGTCATAATAATAATTTTTAAAAACAGATGACTGCAAGACTTTTCTTAAGCAGATTATGTAAAAAGTGAGAGAGCTTCAGTTTACAGTCACAAAATGATTCCACTAAGCAAATTCTTATCTGTACAGTAGAAAAAAATAGATATATTGTTGTAAATGAGAAGGTAAATTATAGCACCCTCTGGTATTTTAAAGTGATTTCAGGAAAAAGACAGTGTTTTCCCCCACCACACTAGACTGATGAACTAATTAGGGAAAAAAAAAAAAAGAATTATAGATCTCACGGAATTAATAAACTCTTAACCTAAGCACGCATCCCCTGAATCACTGGTCTGTGATTCCTTCACTTCTTAGGGACAAGAAATCTATTCTGACATGTTGCACCAAAATTGTTCTCCCTTTGATTTCCAACTAGTGACCTAGTTCTTCTATATGCTGTAATCGGGGGGGAGGGGTGTGTGTGTCTATACTCTTCCACATAGCAGCTCTTCAAATGTACAAAATTACAAAAATCATCTAATACCAAGTTTATCAAATTTAGACTAACACTTAGCTCCCTCAACCTTTCCTCAAATGAAAATAGCTCAGGACCCCTTAACAAACATCTCTTAACATTTGAACATCTCTTTAAAAAGTTCAGATAATTGATATTTTTCTTTAGAGATGAGACTCAGAACTAAACATAGTTTATTTAAACTAAAATAAATAGGAATTATTCACTTGATGTGGAATCATATGCCTATGAATTTAGTCAAAGATTGTATCAGCTTTATATTTGAATATTCATATAACATGGTTGTTTTGTGAGTTTCTCTCTTAATAAAATATAGGAATCATTTCTATAGCTCTTCTGAAAAAGTGTATTTTTAAATTTGATCTATTTTCCCTACTATTGGCTCCTAAGGTATTTATGATTTTTTAATTATTTTCTCCTAAGTATAGTGAATGTCTGTTTTTTGTCACTCCAGACTTCCACATACTGCAATTCCAGTATCTTGATTATTGAGACAAGTGACCTAACTCCCTTCCAAACCAATTGTACCTCTAGTTGGTGCCATCAATAACTTGATTGAGCCAGGAGATGGACATGTGATCTAATTAAGAGCCTCTGTCTTTCAAATTGGAACCAAAGAGATTCTATTCTTCTCTAGAGATGAAACTATGAGATACAGGAACTATTAGCCGGAGGCCCACTCATGTGAACAAAAGTATCCTGCAAAATATAATCAATGTGCACTGAAAAGTAGAGATAATGTTCAGGATTCCGGTACTAGTTTTCCCTGAAACTTAACTATACTTTCAGGTTCTCCATGGGCACATGAGTTAATAAATTCATTAAAAACAAAACAATAACAAAAACACTCTGTCATTGGCTATTAAATGACATCTAACATATATTGATTTTGCTATCTAAAGTTATTCCTTATCCCTCCCAACTTTATGTCCTGCTTTAGTTGTCTATTGCTGTTCAAATTACAAACTTGATGACTTAAACAATACAAATTTATTATTTTACATTTCTATAAGTCTGAATTTCAACTTGGATCTCACTGGCTAAAATTAAAATGTGATTTTTTAATCACACTTATGGATTCTGCAGGTTAAAAACAACCAACTGACCAAAACAATTGCTGATGAACAGGTTCCATTCATGGTGACATATTTCAGAATCACACTGCACTCAACCAGAGTCTTCTTGTCTTTCCAGGTTTCCTTGTCTTTTCCAGGTTGTAAAGTCCATTTCTATTACTTTCATTATGATCATAGCTTCCTCCATCTTCAAAGTAACACTGCATCTATCTGAATATTCTTTCACAGTCATACCTCCCAGTGATAGTTGGAGCTGTGTGTCAACTTGGCTGGACCTCAGTTCTGTGTGGTTGTTCCCATGATGGGATCGGAATGACTGTGTTTTGAGTGGCCAATCTGCCCAAGGGGAGTTTCGCTAGGGGTGTGGCCTGCTTCCAGGATATCCAGGGACATCCTGGGAAGAGAGACATTCTTTGAGGAATTGGGACCCTGGTGTGCTGACTACAAACTTCCATGAGTGAGCAGCCCACCGCTTGGCCTGGAGATCTTGGATTCGTCTTTTGTTGGAGTCAACAACCAGTGTACTGCCTGCCAGCCTTGAATTTCTCGGCCCCCTGTGGTTGCTGAAGCTAAGGCTGCCTCCAGTTCAACGTTTCCTCCAGGGACTTTGGACTTGCCGGCTTCTATGCATTTGTGAGCCATTTTCCTAAGATAAACTTCTCTCTCTCTCTCTCTCTCTCTCTATATATATATATATGTAAGCTTTGCTGGTTTTTGTTTCTCTAGAGAACCCAGTCTAACACCCTCCCTTTCATTGTGACTTCAAAACTACAAAAGGTTTTTTAAGGAGTTATGTGATTAAATCAAGCCTACCTGCATAATCCACAGGTCCTTGGGGGGCACAAATGATTTGTTGTTGACTACTAACTGAAAAGCTGGTGGTTATTTCTGTGAGATTACAGCCATTGAAGACTCTCGTGAGTGCAGTGCTATTCTGAAATATGTCACCATGAACGGAACCTGTTGATCAGCAACTGTTTTGGTCAGTTGGTTGTTTTTAACCTGCAGAATCCATAATCTCCTCATCTTCAGGTTCTTAACTTCCATTAAATCAGTAAAGATTCTTTGACCATACAAGGTTACATACTCACAGGCTCCAGGGCTTTGTCATGGGCATCTTTGGAGGGCAACATGCCTACTACATGTGGTATTTCTCAAAAAATCACAGTTCCATCTCTTGTATCATCCAACTCAGTGATAAAAATGTGTTGAACTGAAGTCAAAGACACTCTCTACATTCATAGTAGCATATTTATCAGCATTATCTGGTAACAGTTATTTGATTGGTAATGACTCCTCAAAATGTTTTTACAGAAAAGAAAATTCCAGTGTTTTTGTCTTTTTCTGAAGATGAGCTTGATTCTTACCAAATTTCCCCCCATACAAACAGAATGCAATCTTTGAAATGTAGAATTCAAAGTGTTTCCATATCCACATACTTGAAGCCTGAGGCTGCTACCATTGCTGAGTACATGGAGTAAACACAGCATCTCTCTTTGTTTTACTAATTGCTTTGTTTCCCCAAGCTGTTAGCACAACATCTGCCAGGCCAAAATGCACTCCTTAGACACGCCATAGAACCATGAATGAATAAAAGGACATACACATCATGGTGTAGGACAAGATCCTTCCAGGAAGCCAGCAGGCAATTTTCAAAAGACAAAGACCTCAAGTAGAAATGAAGTTGAATGCTCCACAATTTTTAGAGTGATAATGGATTTGTTGATATTGTAATGATCTCATACTGTCTGCAATTTTATTGATTTTGTGTTTCAATAAAACTGTTGAAGATAACAATTCTAAGATAGGCAGAATGTGGGCAGATGCTCGTATTCTCACACAGGATTCTGCCAAGATATTTTTACATCTTTCTGCACATAAAACAAAATGAAGACATGTGTTATAGATGCATGCTACTGGTAACCTCCCAGAAGAAGGGAGCTTATTGTATGCTCATTTCCTGGATGAAGTATTAAAACAATTCTACTAAGAAAAAATGAACAGCATTTCCAAAATGAAATAGATTTGCTTCTCAAGCACCTTATAAAACATTCTTAATTACCAAAAACCATTGAAACAGCAATTTGGGTCATCATATTCAAAAGCCATTACTACTATTTCTAATTCAATATAAACTTCATGCCACATCTATTGGATAAGCATCAAAACACAAAATGCTGCAACAGCTTATACTCTGTTGATGTTCATTCATTTCCTGTGCATCAGAAAGGCTCGTTTCAAATACAGTGTGAAAGAAAGAAAAGTAAGCAAAAAACTAACTCAGAAAAGACTTTAATTAAATTGCCTTGAGAAAAACACTCTAGAGGAAAAACTACAAAATCTTAGCCTTACCTTGGGAGATTTAGGCCAATCCACTGTCCTGTGTTCTGCTTGAGTTAGCAAAGTTGACTTTGTTTCCATCCTCAAAGGCTGTTTGGGAGGGCGGGGTGGGGGATGCAAGAAAGAGCTTTCATGTCTCCGCATCATGTAATATTGTTCTTCCGTGATCTCTTCTACCAGAGTCCTGACTAGAAATGATTCTGTTTCCTTAAATAAATTGCTAACTACCTGAACAGTCATATTCAAGCGGTCAACAGGAATTTCCCAGCACTCTCTGGGATTGGCAAAGTCACTTATGAGTAGATAAGAGTCTGTGATACCTTCCTCCAACTGCAGTCCTGGTGTAGCAGCCAAAATGTCCTCTTCAATAGAAAGATCTCTCACAGAAACCTTCACATTGAAGGGCAAGCGGAACTGTGTACAAAGCTCAGAAACCTGGTACTGTTTCTTATCGTGAATCACTTCTACAAAACCTCCTTCCATGTACAAAGGCAGCAGTACTGCCTCGTAAGACTTTTTGAGGATTTTTTCACAGGCCAGAACATTCACCACTTTTTTTTCCCTCGCACAGAGGACTTCAATAGTCTGTGAGTGATGCACTAGAAACTGGTCCCCCACTGATACAGAAGACAGTTCATCATGAGGGGGATGAAAGGCTTTGGTGGCTACCACGTGGAGAAGCTCCTTTCCAGTCTTAGCTATCTCTAGGTCATAGGCAGTGGGGAACTCCCGAGGTCGCCGCTTGAATTTGCCTTTATAGCTAGTGGGGATCAAGAAGTGTCTTTTAGGAAAATTGCTTCTGATTTCTGAAGCTAGGATCCTCACTGCCTGGTACTTTTTGTGAATCACAATGGTTTTCCCAGGCTGTAAAATGTTTCTGGGCAGCTGCTTTCCTTGAGGCCCTTCAATGACTTCCACCACCATGGGGAACTCTTTATTGGTCATTTCGCAAAGATCTTCTGTAGATAACAGCTGAAGAAACCAGTTTGCATCATAACAATCAGTAATGTCTTTGACTTCAACATCCAAACTGGGGAGGATGCGGACTATGTCCTTTTGGACTGGGGAAGAAAGAAAAGAAGTAGATGATGATTTACATTTTGTACATCAAAATATTTGATGTGATATAATAGCAAAATCTTCCTGCTGCCATAGGTAAGTTTTCATGAAAAAAAAAAAAAAAAAAAAACCCTCAGACGATCAGAATATAACATTTCCTACATGCGGTTTTCTTTTTTAAAAAATTTAAGATGAACCAGATTATATATAACACTAACATGCATACAACCACTGCTCAGCTTAAGATACAGACTACTAACTAGCACGTTGGATCTTAAGAACTTCACCAAAATTGCATCCTCCTCACTGCAGCTTGAGTTACCACTCACTTTTGTATTAATTATTCCCTTAATTTTCTTTATAGTTTCATCACATATAATATACATGAATATACAATATGTGTATATATATATATGTATATAT